GATTGAGGTGGTTACCAAGGATGGAGGAAGAGCAATGAACTCATGTCAAGTTGTTCTTTGTTCTAATTTGCCCTTATGGTTTTACTTTTAGGAAAGAGTTGAGGAATTAAAAGAAGACCTTGTTACTCCTTCCAAAATTGTACATCTGGTATCAAAAAGTTCTGAAAAAGCCAGGCATAGTAGTACACACCTGAAATTCTAGCACTGGGTGGGTGGAGAAAGGAGGATCAGTTTGAAGACAGCCCATGTTATATGAGACTCTCTCTCTCTCTCTCTCTCTGTCTTTAAAAAAATGCACCCAAACCAAATGTTCATAGTTCTCATCTAGTATGTCTTTCAAAACTTCAGAAAAACAAAAATATAATTGCTACAACAATTTGATTTTCTATTTTCTATAATTGTGTCTCTATATAAACATCTTCTTATACTTTTGTTGTTGCAATTGTCATAAATGGCCTTTATAAGCCTGGCATAATGAGAAATTAAATTGAATTCAGAAAAATCATTAGCAATGCATTTCTGAGGAATCAGAAATGGTCTCTGAATTCAACTAGAACCTATAGGCAAAAATATTGTGTTTATTGTGACACAGCAATTGTTTACAAGATATTAGATTAATTTAGAGTGTTAGAAATTTCTATAATGTGTCACCTGGAACTATATACGCAATAATCAATTTTAAGAGGCCATTTTTGTGTCTAGTTATGAGTATCTGTATGTCTGTGTGTGGGCATGTGTATATATAAGTGCCTGATGAAGACAGAGGAGGGTGGAGCTACAGGCAGATGGTTTAGTCTCAGTGCATCAGTGGAGATCAAGGTGACTTCGAAAAATCAGAATATTTTAGGCAAGTATGTACATTAGCTGTTCTGTGATATCTGTTCTTACCCTCATGATGCAGGGCCCTAAGGCTGTCTTATGTCCACTGAGTCCTGACTCACCTTCCCTGTTGGAGCATGACTTCCTGAGTGCCCTGATGTGTTTCATAGCTATAGGGTGAGGGAGCTTCTTACACCAGTGCAAGGAAAAGGAGAGGTTAGCAAGCAGCGCATCACGGGCAGGAACGGACAGACACGGAGTCGCGGAAACCAATACTGCAAGGGAGGCCGTCTCTTAGCTCACGTCTGCCCCTCTCTTAGCCACAGTGGCTTCCTCTCTGTGCCAGCTTCCTTTCCTCATCCATCGTTTTAGCTCTCTTGTTGCTCCAACTTATATAATACCTCTTCAGCATCCCCCATCAGGTTTCTACTACCTTTTCAATATCTCTGCTATAACATCCTGAAGGAGGAACTTGGAAGACCCGGATGTATTGTCAAGCCCTGCCACCTAAGCCGTAAGTGGGATTCAAGCTGTAATAGGTCATGTTGGGCCAACATAGAGATGTGGCCCAAACATTTCTGACTAGACAGATGATTAGTGATTGTCTACTGTCTTTGCTCTTAGCTTTTGGTTATCCCTTGGCTATTGTCACCTTTCTAAAACTTAAATGTCTTTTGGGTCCTGTGGTACTGTATTCTCACTTTTATACTGTTTTGATTGTAGCCCACCCCATGCGTGTTCTTTCTCCAATTCTCTTGTCTCCTGGTACACTTTCTTTTTTTCTAATTCATAGACCTCTACACATTTGAATACAGCCGGACACTAGGACTTCTTAACCTAGGATTCCTGAAGCCCTCTTTCCACCTCTATAAGGCAGAAGGTAGAAGTTAGAAGGCTTATGAACATAACTGAAAAAAAAATTACATCTTTGTAGTCATTGGATGCTAATTAAAAGATACCAGTTCCTTGTTCTGCTTATCTGAGCAGTCTGTAGTAGCAACAGTTGTGGTTTTGTTACCAGTAGATGTTTCATATTTTCAGATTGTTGTGTCTTAAAATGTTTTTCTCCATTGTTACTGCAGACCCATGGTGGCTCTCTGATCTGGCAGCATACCTTTTATCCTAATGCAGTCAGAAGGAAGCATACACCTGTACCAATGTGTGCTTAAGATTTTGATAACTTTTTGTGATAGTGTCACATCCTTTGTTGTCTGATTTTGGTTTCTGATAAACCGTAAAGAACATTTCTTTTTGAGAAAGACTCCATCGGCCTCATTGTAGTGTTAAAGGGCCCCCGGTTTCCTCCTCCAGATGGTAAGGATCTTCCAGATGCTCAAGCATGATTTCTGGGGGGAGATCAAACCCACGGTGACAAGGCAGCAACTTTGACCCGCTCAGTTTCCTGGGTCTGGTTAGCAAGCTTTACCTGCCTGCTCTATCTATAGATCAGAATTTAAGTAGCTCCGAGTTTGTTTGTTTTTTTTTTTTTTTTAATTCTAGGTTTCTGTTTTCCTCACTTGGTCCCTGGATTGAGAATATATTTTGTTGCATATAATCTCTAAAAATAAATTTTTAACCAGACTGAAAAAAGAGCCGGTTATTATTATTATCACAATAATCTTCAAATAGTCCTTGGACTGTTACAGATTAAGTGTAAAATTGTTTGGGTTCTTTGTTCAAAACAAAAGCCAGGTGTAGTGGCTTAAGCAAGCCAGAGAATTTATGATATAGACAGGGGTGTGTCAGTACTCTCTAGTCAGTGACAGCAGAACAGGTTAAACCAGAAATGGATTGGCAAGCCTTCTCTGTAAAGGGCAAGTACTAAAATCAGACCAGGAGGAGTGTGGGAGTTTTTCGTATTTTGCCTTAAGTGATAAGGAATGTGCACCAATAAAACTTTATTTGTAAAAATAGGCAGATGGCCAGCCTGTCATGTTGTAGGTTGAGGACCCCTGACAGCCATGTCTGGACTTTCCTGAAGCATCCACCACTCCCGGCCTGCTTTACTGTCCCCCTCTTACTGGCTTGCTCCTTTGACATCTCTGGCTTTTATGAAGGAGACAACAGAGATGGCTTCGGTTGCAGCTAGGATTGTGAACGTTTCCAACAGTTCAGGCATTGAAGGCCTGGTTTCCAGTCTGTGAGGCTCTCCAGGATACAGTGGGACTTTCAGGAGGTACGGCCTAATGGCGGGAAGCTAAGCCACCATGGGCATGCCCTTCTACGCACACTGAGATGCTGTGTTCTTTCTTTTCCTTTGCTTTCTCATGCCATGAAGTGAGTGGCCTCACCTCCTCCTGCTTGGTCTCCAAGTGGTGGGGTAGCAGGCCTGACCTACCACACCTGGCTGACCTTTCCCCTTGTAAGTGATCCTAGGTGATTTGTTACAGCAACAGGGAAGATGACTAACACAGCTCCTGAAAACTGAGTTCTGTGTTACAACTTCATGCTGCCTGACTTCCCCAGGCACGATTTCAATTTGCTGACTGAGGAAATGACTTAGTTTTGTTTTGTTTTTTTTTTAAATCCATTTTTGCTCTGAGTGGTTCTGGGTCCATTTGCTAAGTTTTTGTCTTCATTGCTACATTAATTCTACCCTGCAGAAACGTGGTGCCTTTTGTAAAGACCATATTTATGTAGGAAAAAAATGTATCTACTTCTATCAAAATTATTTCATGTTTTATTTGCATTCCTTTCCATATTTGTAACAGCAAAGTTCAAGAACAGCAGAACTTATATTTAAGGTTTTAACATTAAAAAGAAATAAAGTCCCATCACTCTTTTACTCTACTAAATTTAAAGAGTTCTATGACAAAAGTGGATTCAGATAAGCAACAGAAGGGCCAGTGAGATGGCTCAGTGGGTAAAGGCACTTACTGTTAATCTTGGCTCACATGGTAGAAAGAGAAATTCCCACAAGTTGTCCATGACCTCAACAAGCGTGTTATTCTACGTGGATGTACACAAACAAAATACAATTAAATAAAACTTTAAAACATAAGCAATAGGAAAGGTTGGAAACTTGAAATATTAATAAACTTAAAAAACAATAGTTCTCTGTCAAACGACTATTTGTGCTAGAAACTTGCAAACGAGGGAGAATTCATTACTCATTTCCTTCTCTTAGAATTAATTAGCAGCCTTCCCAGACGCTGCTGACGTCCCCTGCTAAAAGGAAGAAAGTAAATACAGTTCTGTGAGAAAAACTGGTTCACTTCCACAAAACTATGAGAGGCTTGAGCATTAGCCAAGCAAAAATAACCTGCTAAAGAACTACACGTAACCTATTAGCCACCACAAGAAAGCTTTCTTTTTAATGGTATCCTCCTGGGATACCATGCTGGAATGCACAGAGGTTTCGAAAAGGCACAGACTTGGCTCAACTGTAAATATCCTTAAGTGCACAGAGGCAACGCCATTGTGAAGGATAGGGGGTGGTGGATTCTGATTCCCAGTGTTGATAAGGATTTTCATGTCTCTGGATACTTACTTTTTTCTGCTACAATTACAGTTTTGCAGAGAAAAAAAAATGGGTTTTGTTCTCATCCGGGTTTCCAATTTTCAGTGCCTTTGGAATAAAGGCGAGAGCCTGTTTTATTTACCTGAGAGATTCTTTTTACAAACTGGGCTTGGTAAAGCATGTTTGTAATCCCAGTACTGGGGAGGCTGGAGAAGGAGGAAAGTGAGTTCCAGGCCAGTCTGGGTTACACAATAAAACCACTTCTAGGGAGCAGGGAAAAAAAAAATCTTTCCACAGTTTCTGAGCTGCAGAATAAAACAGAAGCTCAACCTACTGTCCCCACCTGTCGAAGCCCATGAGCTGCCCAAGTCTCTGGGGGCGTGTCTGCGTAAGGAGGCTCTGAAACTGTGGGTCTCAGCAGCTTGGTGGCTGTCTCTAGTGGGAGGATGTCCCCACCCGTCTCCACCGCTCACAAACCTCAAGCTTGGACTCTGCACCCAGCCCTTTGTCTAGTTTGCTTTTCCCTTGTAAGCTGGATTCCCACCACAGAGCCTCTCCCGCTTATGGGGGGTCACCTGGGTGTACGATCAATTCATTAATTCACGAGAAGCAGGAGCTGGTTGGCGCGAGCTTAGTGCCAGGTCACGCCGGGAGCCAGAGAAACTACAACTCCCGTCAGCCCCCGCGGCCGCCGGGCCCCACCCCACCTCCCGCTCAGCCCGCGGCGGAGGCGCTGGGCTTTCATCCGCGGAGCGGCGGGAGCGGGACGCTTCGCGGCGGTCGTCTCCGACGGTCGCGCGTGAGTCGGCAGCAGCCTCGGCCCCGTTCAGCCTCTGAGTCCGTGTCAGCGGCGGTCCTTGACGCAGCGGGAGGATGGTGGTCCGCGTGTTCGTCGCCTCGTCCTCGGGCTTCGTGGCGGTGAGCGGGGCGGGCGGGATCGCGGCAGACGCGCGGCGCGTGCGCCCGTGGGAGACGCGCGGGCAGGTGACCGCTAGGCTCGGACCCGGTGGACGCGCAGGGCTTGTGGCCCCCCCTCCCCCGCGCGCTGGCCGCTAGGGAGGGCGACCAAGGGAGCAAGTCCCCTGCCGTAGCTGTAGGCTCCGGGGCTCCCTGTGCTGACTTCGGAGGTTCCCGACTGGAGACACCGTCGGCTTCTGTGTATTACGAGAGTTTAGACTACTTTGATTTGCTGACCTGGCTTCTGAAGGAAACAAATTTGCTCTTCACCCTCTCGTCCACAGCAGGTTTTTTAGCTGCTCCATTTGAGCAGAGAGAACAGTAAACCATGCTTGTCCGGTTAGGTCGGAGTCCGTTTGTTTTCCTTGTCGATTTTTTAGCCTAGGGTGTTTCAAATACTTTTACATTTCTAAGCTAGCCTGTGTGCGTTTGTCCTTCCCGGGTTCCCTCAGTGCTGTGGTCAATTTTGTTTTAAGAATCTATAAATTGTGTTCTTTCTTTCTTTCTTTTTTAGCTATTCTGTTTGTAGAGTGTTACATTGTTTAAGGAATATTCTTCTTTGAAAGAAGCTGAGGAGTTAGAGATGTCATACAGGAAGGAATAGTGTACACGTTTACTGGACAGGACACTCCACTGAATAAAACAGATGTAACGCGCATATTTTATGTGATTATTAAGAATTGATTAACTCAGGTGAGAGTTAAACTGCATCTCTGAAAGTCTGCTTTGTGAGATACTTAATCAGATAGATATAGAAGAAAGTACAAGAATAATTGTTTCAAAATTCAGTCTGGCTGGTTATCTGCCAGTAAGCAGATTGTCCTAGAATTTAAGTGGGTGGGGTAGAGCGTGAAATGAAACACTTCTTGAAAAATCGCTATAACTTAACCCAATTTTTTACTACAAGGACCCCCATTTTTACTAGACCCAGCGGTTGGGGAGATGCTAGCTACCTGTATGTGCAGGCATAGTTGTGGTTCTCATTGCTTAGTCATAGGTGACTTTTACAGATTTTTCATGAAGCTGAGCTTCATGAAACGTAATACTTCCCAGATAGATTTATTTAAATGTATATGTCTCACTGTAGAGCTCTTGGTCTTACCATTGACTTACCTGCTTCAGTAATTATTTCAAAAGCAGTTTATTGAATGTGGAAAGCATGTGTTTTAGTGCTGCTCTGCAGTTGTGCTGGGAAAGTCAGAGGTAATTTACCTGTCTTATCCAGCGTGTATCTGGACCGACTCTGCGTCCTGTATCCTGTTTTCATCAGTTCCATTAACACACACATTTATTGCCTGTCCCTACTGTGTGACTTAAGTTTTAGATTTACTGGTTTGTCCATAGAACTGATTCGAGGAAATGATTTTATTGCCAGCAGTGCCCCAGCTCTACCCTAGTTTCTCTCCTACACCATGAAGGATTCTGAGGCACTCACGGTTGTGCTGCACGTTTAAAATGCTTTGGTGTGTCAGCTGAGGAAATGTGGGTGAGCACTCATAACAGCTTATTTCATTTGAACAGTTACTGGTTAACTTCAAAGTGGAACTTTTCCACTTTGATTCTCAGAACCCCGTGGTCTGATGTGGTTTGATTGGGAGGTTACGTTCAGTTACCACATAGACACAGCCCGTAAACACTAATTACTCATTTCAGTCTGCTGTTTGAAAACTTACTCTTTTCAGGAAGTACCAGTCTCTCCCCACTTTGTAACATTATCTTCTACTTCATGTACAGGTTTTTTTTTTTTTTTTTTTTGTAATATTGGTATCTAATTTATATAAAGTTTATGCTTATCTGCAAGAATATTGATTTCTTAGCCATAATGGAGTTGTGTAGGTAAACTCTTGGTTGGTAGCTAATATGGTATAGCTTACAACATTAAGCCATGTTAAGGTTTTGTGGGAATGCTGTGTTTTCCTTCTAGCAGTGTTAGGTTGGCTGTTGGCACCATTTTATTCTGTTCCCCTCTGTGACCAGCAAGTGTATGGAAGAACAAACAGTATCGTTCCCAAATCAGATTGGTTTTAGCTAAAGTTTATTAAGCCACAAGGAAGTAATGTGACTGGAATTAGACCTAGTTAAGTCCTGTAGGCAGGGCATTTAAGCATACTGTTTTGTGAAAATCCTCCTCTTCTGGTTCCCTCGAGCTCTGGAGCTTCAGCAGGAGTGACTGACATGGAAGGCTGAGTGCCTGTTCATCCTGCCCAGCTCCAGGTGAAGCCTGCTTTTGCTAGGAAATAAAAACTCTGTAATGCAGCATTCTACCATGGGTATGTTACTGTTACATTGAGGACATTTTATTCATCTCTAAGAAAACAGGGCCATAGAAAGATCACTTAAAATACTGATTTATTTATTATGTGTGTATACCTGACGGGAGGCCGATAACTTTGTCCAGGAGATATGTTAATGTGACTTTAATTTTAAGAGATTATTTTCACTGATGTACTTAACAGAATTTGCCTTCGTCTGCTGTTGGCTTTTTTTTTTTTTTAATCTATTTTATTTGGTTTCATATATCTACCAGCCTTCTCCACCCCAACCCCTTCCAACATCAGGTAGGAGAGACAGAAGGTTAGTGGGGAGAGGGCTCCTTGATATCTTTTTAGACTACTGCCTGCTGATTACGGACACTGAGTTCCTTGGGGCAAATCCAGTCTTCATCTTGTCAGCCATATCTCCAGTTTCTTCTTCTTGTCTCTTTTCTCTTGACCACTTGACAAACTAGCAGGAGCAGGAACCAGCAGGAGGAACAGCCCCACCTCCTCTCTGGGCCCCTGTTCTTTTACACCCTCTCTAGAGTCTCCAGAATTAAACTGTCTTCAGCTAGCAGAATCATGCCCCTGTCAGAGTGTGCAGTAGGCAAATAATAGTCTGCTGCTGTGAACAATTTGAAGCAGCCCCTTATCCCACACATGGGATTTAAAAAAAAAAAAAAGATATTCATATAACATAACTAGGTTTGTTTGGTTTTGTTTTTTTACGCAGGATTTCTCTGTGTAACTACCCTGGCTGTCTTTGTAGACCAGGTTGGCCTAGGACTCACAGAAATCCATCTGACTTTGCTTCCTGAGTGCTGGGATTAAAGGCGTGCACCACCACTGCCTGGCCATAACTAGGTTTTTAAAGAAACCAAAACTCTCACTATGGTCTGCCCCTACCCTGCCCAGCTCCTTGGTCTTGCAGGGAAGCCTAGGAGAATAAAGGGTGTGGCTCTCTTCTTGATGAATCAATCACTCCATAGATCAGGTGTGGACTTCAGCTAGGAAAGGTAAAACCTTCAGTAATAACCTTCAGCTCAAGGACAGACCTCTCAGGGGAACATTCTTACCAAGCAGAAATGTCACAGCCTTTGGAGGGATGCATTGCTAGATGTAAGATACGGAGGGGAATATGCTAGAATCATAAAATATGCATGTGGAGGCAGCTAGCCAGGGAGAGGAGTGTGGGAGAGGGCTCCTGAGGTCATTTTCTTAGTCTGGACATGAAGGTGCTTGGAGAGGAGGGGTGAACAGCAGCTGCCCCTGTGGACATCTTTGGATGACAAGGTAGATTCTTCAAGTCCCCAAAGGAAGCCTGTGAATTCAGACTCCACAGAGCTCAGCATCTTGGAGATGTTTTCAGTGTCTGCAGCCTGTCTGCTGCTTGAACCGTTTGTCCTTCAGGTAGCAGGGTAGTGCCCTTCAAGGGAAAGAAGACTCCCTTCCTGCTTGCCTTAGACTAAAACTTATCAAAAAGCAAATAAAGTCTTCGCTGAAGTGAGAGCTGTGCCTTTGCATGATATGTTTTTACTGTCCATTAAAGTTCTGTGGCTCAGTTGAGATTTGGAAGGAAACCCAAATACACAGGAAGTGAAATCCAACCACACAGGTTCATAGAAGGAAACTTGGGCATAGAGGTGAAGTGATTTGCCCTAATGTCATTTATGCCGTCAGTGCACATTGAGATGTAAGTGGAAAAGCCAGATTCCTGCATTGATTGATTGATTGGTGCATATGCTTATTTTAAGCACTGCAAATGAAATATCAGGCGCTCTACTTGTGTGTGTGTGTGTGTGTGTGTGTGTGTGTGTGTGCGCGCGCGCGCGCGTGTGCGTGCGTGTGCGCGATACTGTATATGCCAGCCTGCAGAGGCCAGAGTAGGACATGAGATGTCCTGCTTTATCATTCCCCACCCTGTTTCTTTGGGACAGAGTCTTTCATTGAATCTGGAGCTAGGCTAGTGGCCAGCAACCCTCCTATCTCTGCTGCTGCCCATAGCATTTGGGTTACAGATGTGTGCAAGGCTTCCTGTATCTAGCTTTTTAGATAGGTGTTAAAATTCAAGCCCAGGTCCTTATGTTTGTGCTGCAAGCACTCTTACCCACTGAGCCCTAACCCTAGTACCAAGTCAGGTGGTACTATATACTAGGATGCTCAGGAGAATAGACAGCCCAAAGCATTGCTGTCTTCATCAAGCCCAGAGACTTGGCAGGCAAACCATGCAGTCAGTGATGGTGGCTTGAGGGATGCTTTCATGAGTCAGGGGAAAATGGGCGAGACAGCAGTGTATTACACATGTCTGAATGCAGGAGAGTCAGCGTTTGGGACAAAAGATGAAGACATTGGAAGGAAAGCTTGAAAGTGCAGAGCCTTCTGTGGCCTGCACATTGTATTAAAGTGAGGGTGGGTGTGAAGGGGGAGGACAGACACACTGCTCAGAGGTGCCTTGCTCTTTGCAGCTGTGCGACGTGTCCTTGCCGCTGTGCATGAATGATTATTACCTTAACCATGCAATTACCAGTTCAGGCTGTTGTTCCCCTGGAGAGCAGATTCCTCTGTAAGAAAGCCTCAGAAAAGAGTCTGAAAGCTATGAAGTCAGGACATGACCATGCGCGGTAACTGGACTCTATGCCAGGTTGCTTCACTCTCACAGGAGCTGGCGTGCAGATGCTTGGGCCCTTGAGGACCTTCACCTTCTTG